GGCTTCGTGTCTGCGTTTTACTTTGACTTCGCTGCTCGCGGAGGTCGGTTCCCGACAGGCTCGTGTCAGCTGGGCTTCGTTTTCCTGACGGCTGGTGGCTGTCAGTGGAGACTGGGGAGGACAGGGCCCGCCGGAATTTCTAAAAGTGGTGTCTTTTAAAACCTGTTGGAAATTTAAAGTCTGTTGGAAATAGTAGAAGGTGAGACCGCACACTCCACTGTGTAGTTTTCCTGTAACATGCGAGTTTTCTGTATGTTAGGAAAGATCAGGTTATTGTATCTTTCTTTCCTCTTGGAGCTATGGTTCTTAGTGCATCGCCAGAGTTGTTCCCGTGGATTTGGTGAGAGTAGGGACCTTCCACGTCAGTGAACAGTAGAAAAGGGACGCTTTGGACTGAGCGTACGAACTGCCTACTTACAAGTGTCAAGAGCGGTGTGACTAGGCACATAGCAAGGGGGAAAAACACAGTAAATTACTGCCTTAGCTGAAAATTAGTTTGCTATGCAAATGAAGTTTAGAGCATCTCCAAATTATTACAGAAGTGGCCTGACCTGGTGGACCCCTCCTTCTTGTGGCAAGAAATAAGTCATTCAGATGAGCCAGGCTATATTTAGGTGTCTGGAAGGATCATACAGGATCACTTTATTTTGCTTAAATGGTATTGTATAATCTTAACTTTTCTGAACATGTGTTCATACAGAAGTTGAGAGGTGGTGGTTATGTTGGCGGTTGTAGTACAGGGTATGTAGAAGCAGATTCTGGTTTAGTCTGTATACTTTGGCTTGACAAACAAAATGAGAGGATGGACCTTTGAACTGATACCATTTTTAGACCTTAGGACAGTACAGAAGGTAACTGCCAGTCAACAGGAATTACTTAATTTTCTTTCTAAGTCAGTGGAGCTGGCAGTGCTGGCTTTAATAAGATATTTACTAAGATGCAGAATCATTTATTGGTTATGAAGTAAATTTGTCTTCTGATCAGGAGGAGAAATTACCTCTTTATCAGTCAAAACTTAGTCATGCTTTTCATTTCATAAGAATGTTTATATTATGTGAAATAGTTTTTCTGCTAGAGTCTACTCTAATTGCCTCTTTAAAAAAATCCATGAACTTTAAAGAATTAGTGTGTCATACCTTGAAATTTAGAACTGTTCCCTCCCTCTCCCCACGTTTCTGACTAACCTACTAAGAAGGAAAAATGGAGATGAATTTTAAGTAATTGTAGGATAATGGACTTTGACTTGTAGGCCCAGCATTGAAACAGAGCACTGTCTTTATGGAGATCTTTTTATAGTTGCTTATTAACGTGCTTAAAATACCTGCTTGCAGTGAAGCTTCTTGGTCATTGAAGGGGTTGATTCTAGGAAAGCTTTCTTGGCCGTCAAGCCAGAGGCACTCTGCTAAAACCTTCAAAAAACTTCCATCTGCTTCTTGTTCACTTGAATGATTCAATGAACTTTTCTGAGCTTCTCATAGGACATCCTTGGAGATTGGATTTGTGTCCTGTATTAACAAAGTTCTGGAAGGGTGGTAGGGACAAGAGCCTTGTCTGGGGGGCATAGTTCAGGGAATGAACATCTGGGATGGAAGCAGTCCACAGCCCTCTCCTTACAGTGACACCCACTCTGGTTTCATCCCTAATTTCACTCTGGGATAGGAACCATGAGTAATTATTTTGCACTGATTTGAAAAGAAAGCAGGATGACTTTAAGTTGTAGCAGCCATGGCTCAAAGTGAAATGTAGGAGGTGATGGAAGCAGCCTACATATGCTTTCCCCAGCAGCATGAATAATGCCTGGTATGTGTCAGGTGCTTCTGCTCCTTTCCTGTTTATGTGCGTGTCAGACATGTACACGCTAAATTCCCATGTATGAAGCATGTACTATAATGTCACGGAGTTCACAGGTGTTCCTGTGCACCTGTTGTGTGCTGGGTTACAGGTATCTGCCAGCAGCGGGGCTGTTCCCGAGTTGGAGCATGGCATGCCGGTCACTGTAGTTCCTCTGGGATGTACCCAGGCATGAAGGGGAGGGCTCTTACAGTTCGTTGCATCATGCAAACAGCGCCACCAGCTTATGCTGATGTGTCCTTCTCCTTGGAGAAGGAGAGCGTAAGTAGCAGTAGAGTGTATAAGGCACTGCTTAAATGTTAAACTGTTGGAGAAACCTCTGCCTCAACCTCGTGAGAAAGAATAAGGCTTTAGTCAAAAGAGCCACGTGTGGCAGTTCTCCTTTCAACATCCATCTCTGATATTTCTATTCACAGCAAAGTGAAGACAGAGGCATGTAAATAGAAGCAATAGTATAAAAAGGAAGAGGGGGACAAAACAAAAAGCCATGTGGACAAGATGCTTGTTTGTACCTATGAATACATCAGTTTACTGAAAGGATTACTTAGGTGACAGGAAATCAGTCATTTGTAGGTTTCTAACCTAGACCAAAGGTTATTTCCTTCTAGTTGTTATTCAGTGTAAAAGTAGTCAGCACGTTCCTCTAACTAAGCATATGCCCGAGTAGTGGCACTTAACAAGGAGCCATGCTGGCATTGCAACAGGACCTGAGAGGTTGAATGAGTTTGGTGGAACTAAGTTTACAGAATTTTCTTCCTGTTCTGGTCAGCTGTAGCAGGTAACCTGAGAGTACCGAAGAATTGTTGTAGATAAAAAGTTGTAATTCTAGCTCCATCTTGACTCTCATCAAGAATTATTGTAAAGGTGAACATTGTCCTAAGCCTTAGCAGGTGTCAGGCAATCACTAGAGGACCTTCTACAAAAATGAGGAGATGGCGGTCATCAGATGACAGCCCTTACCTTACACATTTCAGAAGCTGAGTTCCAAAGTCCCGTTTTCTCCCTGAAATTACAGATTCCTGACAGGAAACCTTGGCCCATACTTTCTGCTCTACTTCAGGCTCTGGTGAGTCAACTGTTGCTGACATTTGAAGCTTCAGAGGTAACAGTATGAATTTCCAAATGTTTCATGAATGTTACAGATAATTTGAGATCTTGCAGGAAGAATCCAAATTCTGCTGCAGCAGGGCAGAACCATGGGGCTCTCATTCTTTGAAACCTCAATTTAAGACATACCTCTGGTGGCTGTGAGATATTTGGCTGTGTGGTCATTAGAACTAATTCGTATACTGCACCGAGAATCCTGCAGATGATCATCTTTGTTTCCTTTCCTAACAGACCAGTGAGCCTAAGACCTTCCATTAGTTTCCAAATGTTTTGTAATAGTCGATATAAAAATTTTTTTCCAGCTGCATGAGGCAAGTGTGTGTGCTTCATTTGACGGCTCTCCCACAAGATCAGGATATACTTTGTTGCCACTTTCTCCTGGGATTGCAAAGAAATGCCCTCTCACTTCTTTTCAAATTAAAAGCTAGTTTGATTTCTCTCGCTATTTAAATGTCAGCATTCTCTTTGCTGAGGGGAAAAAAAGAAGTATTTTTTAGTGCAGTATTTTATCACCTGTATCAGCCAGGTTTTATTGTAAATATCGGATTTCCTCAGCCCTGACAGTGCTTCACTTAATGACTCAAAAGAATATTAACAGGTCGTTCTTGCATGTTTTATAGTTTGGTTTGGGGGTTTTTGTGTAGTGGGAAGTGTCTATACTAAAGGGTTATTTTTTTTTAATTTGGAGTGCTGCATCAATTAAACAGCACTTTAAGTGCTGACTTTCTTTTGAACTCCCCTAAGGTAGAAGAGGTCTGTAATGTCAGTCTACTGGAGGTAAAGGCAGGGAAAGAAAGTATAATAGTTTTGATGAGAAGGTTAAAGTATCCAAAGGATAATTTGCTAATGCATCCGATGTTGAATGGCTCGTGTTGTTAGTTCTCAGTTTACAAATTTATTTTTGTTTTTTATTTTACGCATTTATATTTTGTAACAAGAACTGTGCAGGACTGGGAGATGAATTATGAATATAGCCTAGGAACTTTTCAACCGTATTATATGTCCAACTTTCTTTTTATAGAGTCATTCAAAAAACAGCACTGTTCTGTATAAAATGCTCTATAAGTTGCAGTATTCTTATCTA